ACTGATCGCCCGTTATTGATTATGAACAAAATACAGTAACTGCTTTTACGTATCAAGGAGGATTTTTGTTCTGAATCGATGTATTTGCAGATGAAGTGAAGTGTAAAGGTACGACAAGCTGCAAGAGTAAAAATCAAAGTAAATATATCCTTGTGGAACAAGTAAAGATTCTTTTACCAGTGTCTGTCAATTGTGCTTGCGTGTTTGCTAACATACTGCTCCTCCGTATATGTCAGACATGGCCAACACAAGAGGTATACACTGGCTCGGAATCCGACGATCCTATAGGCGGAGTTGGACATATGAGACAGACGGAACAGAGAAAGTAAGGAATGCTTTATTTCGAATTAGCCGTGATTACATATCCGGGGGTAAGCATCTCGTTTTCTAAGTTAACAATGAATATATTTCCAGTACCTCTCGTACATCGAACTTCGAAGATAGCAGCAGGTACAGTTATAACTTTGGAATTACCTGTGCAGTGGAAATCACGAACAAAGAAATGGTCGATTGAGTCTTGCACGAACCGTCAACTATTCATCTGTCAGAAGCCTTCAGGTGAGTGAATCCTCGATTGTCATCATTATTCCTTACAGTCCGTTTGAGTCAGAAACGGACCGGATGAATTGCAAATTGAATCATTGGTAATAAAAATTGCCACATAAATATAAATAGTACAACATGTTTACTCATTTACTAATACCCAACAGCTTCTTTATATTTAAAAAATTTGTGTGATTTTGACATCGACCCCTCTACCTGTTTCAGATCACCCTCACATATGTTCGTGTTCCAGAAACATTTGTCAGTACCTTGTTGATAATTCCTAAAGCTTTGGCCGCCCGCTTACGGAATTTATTAATGGCATAAAATGTATTTGGCCCCTTTCTGGCTTCCAATAACGGAAAAATCGTACACTTAAATCATCAACTGTTTCCCACGTCAGCATTCAACTTCATTTTCATCAGGCATGTGCATCCCGTGCACGACGAGATAGTGTATTGTTCCGTTTCTGCGGTTTCACTCGCGCCGCGAGACAGATAACAACTTTTACGTTTTCTAATGATGATAGTTTCTTTAACAACTTTTTGGTGGAGTCCGGAAAATTTTCAAACGTAAGAAAGCTGCGCCAGTATTAGTAAATGATAAACATGTGTACCATTTATATTTATGTGGCAATTTTGTACCATTGCTAATTTGTGAATTCATCGGTCCGTTTCTGACCTAAACGGACTGTAACCGTTGATCCGATGTCTCGTTTCTGATTCTAACCAAAAATAATACTCCAGACTGTTTCCCTGGTCAGTTTTGGAGAGAACTGCACTAATCCAGTGCCACTGTAGTGGGGACGCTCTGCAACACCACTTCCGGTCTCTGGGTAAATATGGCTGCCAGATAGGGCTGGAAGGGGGAGATCTTGCGACAGGTACATGTCTAACTGAAATAAAGTTTCGATTTCGTCGGGTTTTTCTGTGCTGGAAAGTGCAGATACCCAGCGCAGATCGGAAAAAACCGTGTTGTTAATGTTAAAACAAAGCACAATATATATAACACGATGCCTCGTGTGTATATGTGCGTGGGGCGGTGGGAAGCCTAGTGGTTAAAGCGTTGGGCTCGTCAGCCGCCGAAGACCCGGGTTCGAGTCCTAACACTTGGGTACACAATGTGTGAAGCCCATTTCTGGTGTCCCCCACAGTGATGTTGCTGGAATATTGCTAAAAGCGGCGTAAAACCAAACTCAGTCAGCGTCAGTCAGTATATGTGTACGTGCGTGCTTCATGCCATTCATTCGATGGACAGACAGAGACAAATATTTATTCAGTATAAAGGCCACTGTTCCAAAATGTCATTAATCATATTGACATATATAAAATTCTGCTAGTTGTGTCAAAATCACATTATAAAACCATGAAAATGTAAAAAAATTACTTATTACTACTGTCAATAATTTGTTGGACCTTTTTAATTCTAAGGGAAATCTTCCGAACTGACTGAAGTATTGAGCTGATTATTATTAACAAATGTAGTATCAGAATTACATGTGGATATGCCCAGTATATTATGCCGTAATCCGATGATATTGTTCACAGATTAATAATATAATGTTCTTTCATCTCTCAATGTAATACTTCCCTTGTCTCTAAACAATACTGGCACAACCTATCTCCATACAATGTAGAGGAGTATCTTCCATTATTTACAGTTTATTCTAAAGTAACTACATCTAGAAATCTGGCTAAACAACCTTTAAACTGTAAATGGTAAGGGATGACGTAAGATGTGTTTCAACTTGTAAAAGAGAATTAAACTGTTTGTATAAAACAAAATGACAAAGCATCAACTTCTGTATATGCCATTCTGCTTACAAGCCATCAGCCAATCTCTGACAGAAGGCACAAAATAAACATCTCAACATAACCCACCTTCCCGGAGATACCCATACAAATCCAAATCTATATTTGAAGAGAGTATTCTTAATATGACTCAGCCCAAGTGATCTCTACCTCCCTGCATCTAATGATAATGTAAGCATCCTGTAACACTGATAAGGCAGGACGACGATTTGGTCCATATACAATAATTTACACCAATATTTTGACAGCCCCTATCATATATAAGATAACTGCAGAGGCATCCTGCCACACCTCGCCCAGAGCCATTACATTACAAGTATTCTTTTGTACCTTCAATATCATTTTACTAGTGTTGGGAATTGGTTGAAATATCACAATTGATGATTGCTTCATTACCAACGAAACAACTATCATCGAAAAATTGGTCAAGGTCATTTTCAGATTTTCCTATCCACGTCGCTACTGCATATGTATGTGCATGATGCAACTTGGTTACTTTAAAGTGTTGACTAATATATCATGGAACATAAACTTCCCGGAGTCTTCAAAAATATATTCAGTCATGGTTTTCAGTTGAGAAGTGAGTTTTCTAAGAATTAAACACGGTTTTCAGGCCTCGGATAACTTCTTTCACGATATAGTTCCATTGTCAGTATTTCAGCGACTGGGAAACAGTAGGTTCCAAAATCTGTTTCTGTCTTCATTTATGAGCAAATGTGATCGATTGCTTGGTCGTTTGGTCACTTCGACCAATCTTCGACTATTTCAACTATCGGAACACCACTCACTTTTACACATCTTTAATCTGAACACTTTCAATAGCGTTTTACAAAAAGGAAGTAACCCCATATTTCTGCTCCATTCCACAAAATTGGTTTCATTAACAGTATCAAATACTTTAAAAATATTTGCCATGATAATGAGCCAAAACTTATAATTCGATGGGCGGTTAAAGAATCCAAGGCTTAGTAACCCGCGTTCGAAACTGTATGTACCCGATGTGTTTTTCAGAAAAACAGAGCCGAAGGTAAGTTTATTTGGCTTTTAAGTTCAATTCTAGTGACATAATAAATATTTGAGCTGATAATTATTTGAGGCACAATTATGAAAGCAAATTGTACAAATAAAAATTATCATGATATTAATTTTGTGGGATTTATGCCAGTAAGCTTATTGTTGGGAATTACGGACGCGTTTTGACTCAGACCATAATACTAGTAACGAAAATGACATAATGATAATTTAAAATGTATTTCCAGCCAAGTCTCTACTGCTTCAAGATCCAAGGACGTAATGCGGATGATGTTTCGTGTAGATCAAAAGGGGACGATCTACCGGGATGTTTCTGCCATAGATGAGCATGGGAAACAATTCGTCGACAATTGTACCTGGAACCGATTTTGACTATTCTGGAAGCTGGGCCGTAACGGGGACGCCTGAAGGTGATGCAAGCTGCGAATACGCAGTTCTTCATTCCTGATTGTAGAGGAACCACAGTACAGTATGGGCATACGTCAAGGTCCTTGCATGACATACTAAAATGATGAAATACGTTCTACGTAATAAAATGATTCAAACAATTTACTTCCTTTACACTGTGTCGGAGCAACTATGCAAAGTAGTCATTCTTGATAACACTGCCAAACATGCTCTTTGATCGATCTTTACGATATGTTTTGATTTTGGGACAGATTAATGTTAATCAGACTCTAAACATCTCTTTGAACATTCGCCTAGATTTAGCATTATGTTTTATGACGGGCGCCACCGGTGGGGCGGGATACGCCTCACCTTTCGCGAACACCTGGTAGCATCACCATTTCATACCGATTCATAAACACATGCCTCACCGTCATCGTATCGCATGGTGACAATCACTGGATTGTCTGGTCCAGAATTGATTAAGCTATTAAACAACAATCAAAACAGCTGTAATAACTGGCTTGAAACCAATACATACTCATGATTTATGTCAGAATTATACAATCAATTTTGCTTTAGCAGATACTCTTAGGATGTGGAAAGGGTGTTGTCGCTCTTTTTCAACATTATTATAAAATGTTTCTACAAGCCACATTGTTTAGACCTGTGGTGTTTGGTTAATTGAAGCTATCATCTTTTATAGGGCATTGCGCCACACCTTGGTGCGCTTCTAAGCTGGTATTTTCTAACTGATGTCTTTTTGTTCCGCAGCATGTCAATATTCAGAAACAAATATGACTATTCGCTATTTTGTGTATGAGGATTCCTTTCATTCTTCAATTGATGTAATTTGTGCTGCGGCGAAGCAGATACTAGTTATCATGATAAATCAATTCTTCATTCATGTGGTCAACTACGAATATTCTCGAGGTACTCGTATTTGATCGCATCAGGGCGGATACAGCTTTTGAGAAGTGGGGGTGGGGGTGCACTTTCATTTTCACGAGAGAGCTTTCCAATGGTCATTTAATAAACTTTTAGGACAAAAAGGGGGATGCGCAGCTCTGTGCACGCGCGCAAACACACACGCACACACGCACACACACACGCACGCACACACACACACCTCTGGATCCGCCTACGCGCATCAAGCATCTGAAGTAAGGTATGAGCAAACACAGATTGTCACACATACACAAATAATACATGCGTTTATGTAGCTGTCGAGTGAGGTTCACTCATGGAAGTTCAGATTCAAGGAGTATCCAGGTACTTCATCTGCCTATGAATCCATGTTTGAGGTGAAGTGCGACTTCACTAAAGCCAGAACCTTGGAGAGTGATACCACCTCCAACACTGACAAGTACGTGTATAAGTATGAGATGAAAAGGGCAAAATACGAGGCCATCAAAACGTTTTCAGCCTAAAATACTTCTGATATGTGTGCATGATAAAATAACCGCATGATACTGAAGAAATAGAGATTGATACAGGATCAAGTGTGTGATATGACTTATTCGAAACGAGTGTGAAATTATGTATTGTCCAAGCGAGGGCGAGGGCAAAATGTTACTATAAGTTTGTACGAGTTTCGTGCAAGCTTATGACACACTTGCTCGAGTGTAATAATTTCTTTATTATCCATTTTATTCATGTACATTTGTGCAGTAAACACGGTAAGCAAAATTAATGATTTATCTTCATTGACGTCAGCGTTCAATTGTTTAATGACGTCACAGACGACGAAACACAGAAACAATTGTTCGCTTTTCAAACGTGTGATATGTGCACATGTGATATATATATATATGACACTGGTTATGTTTCGCCACACATGGGTAATAAAGGTTTATATCATTCACACGGGGTACTACTGAACCACGGGGCGTGTCACGCTTAGAAACAGCGTTAGAAAGACATATAGGTATATAGACCCTACCCTAAAACTATATAAAAGGAGGCGTGTCACGCTTAGAAACAGCGTTAGAAAGACATATAGGTATATAGACCTACCCTAATATATATAAAGGAGGCGTGTCACGCTTAGAAACAGCGTTAGAAAGACATATGGCAGGCATATAGACCCTCCTACCCTAGTAGTACTATATAAAAGGAAAGGGATGTAACGACGGAACCACCTTCTCGATCATCAGTTAGATTTCACCACGTAAAATATTTTTAAGGCCCCCGTCAGAGGCCTATACGGATAGAAAAGTTAGATAATTTCCTACAAAATGAGGTATAAATGGTCACAATCGGATCATTATTTCAAACGTTATACGCCACGACTCACCGAAAACAGCTACCTCCGCAATTCCAAGCCAAAATCATGGATCACCCAAGACAGCGAAAACTCACCTTTTAAATTCGTTTATTAATTCCAGCTAATGTTGACAGCACCTATGTGGGGCTAAATTCGATCGACAGGGGGCATTCCACGGGTCTGAAATTTTATTGCAAACATCTACAAATCTATTTCCTCGACAGTAAGCAGGCATTTTCTCCAAAACCATGGGTAATCATACTCACTTGTCGGCCATAGATGGCTCCTTGACATTCAAGTGACCTGAGCAGTAAATTGGTAAGAATAATTTTAGAGATTAAATATGTAAATATAATTTCCTAAATCAATATCGAATGCTTTTGTACAACCTCTAAATTATTCTTAACAATTTACTGTTCCGTACATCATCCAAAATAGAAGGAATATTGCAAAGTTCATATTTCGCGCCCATTAGCAAACAGTCAAAATACTACAGTATATTTTTTCTCCACCAATCGGATGGCCCAATTCAGTTTCTGCGGATCCGCGCAGATCACTCTGAATGTCAAGGCCATCTATGGCCGACAAGTGAGTAATGATTGCCCATGGTTTTGGAGAAAATGCCTGCTTACTGTCGAGGAAATGATTTTTAGATGATGCAATAAAATTTCAGAACTCCGTGGAATGCCCCCTGTCGATCGAATCTAGCCCCACACAGGTGCTGGGTCAACGTGGCTGGAATTAATAAACGAAATTTAAAGCAGTGAGTTTTCGCTGTCTTGGGTGATCACATGATTTTGGCTTGGAATTGCGGAGGTAGCTGTTTCTTTTCGGTGAGTCGGCGTATAACTTTGAAATAATGATCCGATTGTGACCATTTATAGCTCTCATTTTGTAGGGGAAATTATCTTTCTTATCCGGGTAGCCCTCGACGGGGCCTTCAAAAATAGTTTACGTGGTGAAATCCAACTTCTATTGAGTAGGGGATGGTTTCGTCGTTACATCCCTTTGCCTTTATATAGTACCAGGGTAGGGTCTATATTACCTATATGTCTTCTCTAACGCTGTTTCTAAGCGTGGCACGCCTATCGTGACTCGAACTGCTGTCAATCGCTCTTCAATGTGCTTTGCCGGGTGGCCTCCGTTGAGGACCAAGAACTTTATGACTGCTCTATACTCGAGCTAATCCGTTTCTGCCAGTTCCATATATGGGTACATGTGGATCAGATGTCATGTGACTGGAAACTAGTGACATCTGCATGTCAATATTACGTTTATGTAAATGATATAAACCATTCTTGAATATCATACAATTATTTTTTGTCGTGCACATATCAGAAGTATTTTAGTTCTTAGCCAAAAACATTTTGATAGCACCACGCACGCACGCACGCACGCACACACACACACACACACACACCTGGCGTCATTATTAAAGAAGGGTCAAGCTGTTGGTAACACTATTTCTTAAAAGTTGTAAAATCTTTTCGCGTGCAATATATACACCTGGATGTTTTACAAACTTTCTTAGCAGTATGGAAAACACATCAGGCCTTTGAAATGTCCTTATCAGCCGTCTCTTTAACGTCCGATACATTCTGTTACAATGGAACATTTTTTATTCAAATTGTCAATATGGAAATCTACCTGCCACTTAATGTCAACCATTTGCACGTGCAAGTCGCTCTATCCATGGAAAGTGGAGGACAATACACATGCATTGATGCTTTTTCACTGTCGTTCACTGTTCAGTTACCCGTTTGTAATCGCAGCTTAAAATGAGACCTTTTTTTACACTTGCTGACAGGGGTGAGGCTATAGGCCTTTTGGAATCTGGTCAAACTCAGCGGCAGGTTGCTGTCCGCTTTAATGTTAGTCAGAGTGCTATTGGTAGACTGTGGCAGAGATTTCAAGCCAATGGGTCCGTGGAATATGCACGTGGACCAGGTCGCCCCAGAGTCAGAACAGTCAGAGATGATGGGCAGAACATGATTAACAATGCGTTACGAAACAGATTCTTTAACGCAGCAGGTCTTCAGACAGAACACTTTTAGGTTAACAATGTAAGGATATCCAGGAGCACCGTTCGTTCGTTTAAGGGCAGCCGGACTCCGCTGTAGGCAACCTGCACTTCGTAAACCACTAACACCAACGTAAACAAGCAGGCGCGTTTGAGATGGAGAGAAGACATCATGACATCATGACCTGGAATCAACCTTAATGGTCCCGTGCGCTTCACAGATGAAAGCAGATTCAATAATTCCTTCCATGATGGTCGGCAGAGGATTTAATGTCGCAATGGAGAGCGAATCACAGATGCAATAACTGTGGCCACGCATAACCGATTGGTGGTGGGGTGGGGGATCATGGTTTGGGCAGGGATAACTCCTACCGGACGTACTCCACTGCACGTGGTCAACGGTAATCTTACCCGACCTGCGCGTCATCGGGACGAGTTTCTGCTCTACTATAGCAGTACCATTCCTGCAAGCTATGCATGGCTGATATGGTCGACCCTATATGTACTGCAGGACGAAAACGCTAGGCCAGAATTGTTACGCCTGCCGGACCTCAACCCAATTGAGCATGCCTGGGATAACTCGGTCGACGTGTGTATACACGTCACCCAGCACCAGTGGATCTCCCAGGACTCCGCAGAGCTCTAGTAGAGGAATGGAATGTGATTCCGCTAGCATTCTTTATGAACTTGATAAGGAGCATGAGAACAAGGTGCACCTGTGTCTTAGACGCGCGAGGAGGGTACACAAGATATTGACTCACATAGTGCTTCATGTTTGTCATTTTCATTTTGGGGGTTGGTGTACACAAGTGATGTTTGCCAGATTTTGTCTGTATGTAACGATGTCACGTTTGTCAACACATAAAACATTATGATGGCACGCTTAATTCTAGTATTTCTGAGAAACTTTTCGTTACATGTGCTATATATCATTTGACCCTTTATTAATGACGTCTAGTATACATACATTCATACATAATACATACATACATACATACATACATACATACATACATACACACATACATACATACATACATACATACATACATACATACATTCATACATACATACATACATACATACATACATACATACATACATACATACATACATACATACACACATACACACACATACATACATATATACATAGTACATACATACATGCATGCATACATACACACACATACACACACACATACACACACACACACACACACACACACACACACACACACACACACACATACATACATACATACATACATACATACATACATACATACATACATAGTACATACATGCAAATACATACATATACATGTTCTTGCTTTGACCAGGCCTGCCAACAAGTTTGCAACTCTTACTGAGAGCACGTTGTCTGTGAGTCTGGACATCATCGACCCCGCCAATAACCTCCCTGTAACCACAGCAACCTTGGGTCAGCAAGTCCGCCTCCAGCTGAAGCTGAACAACGTGGACGGTATGAACAGACATTCAGAGTTATGCAATTATGACGAAACATAGTAGCGTTAGAGAACGAAGCACTTCTATGTCAGTAATCCTCGCTCACTAAATTGTCACGCACTCCAACAAAGAGAATATGTATTTAATTTAACAGGTCTTGTTCATATTTACAGTATGTCAGTTTCAGTTTAAACCTTGTTGGTTTCAGATTTCGGCGTGAACGCCATCTCCCCATTCAACTGCTCTGTGGGGACACTGGACCATAGACACAACGTCGTCTTCACCGACGAACACGGGTACGTAGACACATGGTACAGCGCAGTGTGTTCACTCTGAATGTCTTTCATCCCTAATGAGTAACGTGAAGCTAAAGTAGAAACTGAGGTTAATAGATGTCAGGGGCGTACCAAAATAAAAAACAGCCCGGGCTTACACATGATTGTTGCTAAAAAGGTTGGGCAAGCCCTCAATACTATCTAAATATGAAGCTTTGTAACCTATTGGGCTTACACGAAAAAAATGGCATAATTTTATAGCATAACTGCACTTTCATAATGCATGTCGTCTATAATCCTAAAGTGCGCAGGCAGTGCGTCAATGGAAATGTATAAGAAGTATGTATTGTTTGTCAAATTTCCAATATTTTCTATATTTATATGTCTTTAATCTATAACTTTATGTTACCTTAGACACGATTCGGATTATCATTAATTGAGAAACATTCTATTAATATACTCTCCCAAAAAAGAAACGCATCATGAAAATAGCAATTTCATGTAGCAATGAATTGAAACGTGATTCATTTTACAAAAGGTTTTGCTCTGTTTATGAGTCCTATGGTGTTTATGTTTTGAAACATCACAACTAAACGCACCATCCGTAAAATACCCGTATTTAACAGCATGATTTTCAATTTCGGCGTGTAGTATCAATAGAATACACAATTCACATGCAATGCACGTGAAAGTTGGGGATCAGATAGTCTCATTATTCTCTTCCCACAGAGATTACTTGTCATATCTTCCTACAAACCTCTGTTCTAATACGGCCATATTTCCCAGTTCTCGTAAAATCCCCTAGCGGCAAAAAATCGCAACACGAATTATCTCCCTTCTGTATATCCAATCAGAACACGTGTAACATCGACTAATACACGCAAATATTAAATACAAATATCCCCTCTGCCGGGGACTTGTGTTGATGTGACACACAAGGCATTTAATGGCTAGCTTATCCGTTGTCAACGAGGGCGAGGGAGACGCCATTGAAGCGCTATTACATGACTTAGTTCTGTCTAGAAGAAACGTTTGCGCATCGCGCAGGGGAAGAGGTTCTAGTTTTCCCGAAGCATACGGAAATTACCGAGACCTTGCGAATGATCACTTTGAAACAACGTCGCTGATTGCACAACCAAATCTGATTGCAACCAATCACGAATCCTGAACACTCGCACCACGAAAGGGTTGCGGTATTAGAACAGAGGTTCGTTGGAAGATATGACAAGTAACCTCTGTGGAAGAGAATGATAGTCTCAATGAAGGGTATAAAAGGTTGATTGCTGTCTGTCGATTATTCACTGTATTTGGAATATTGTTGACGAACTCAAAATGCCACGTCTAAGTGAAGCCAACCGTCATATCGCCATTGGTTTGCTTGAAGCTGGCCAGTCTTAACGTGCAGTTGCCCGACGCATGAATGTTCACCAAAGCACCGTTTCACGGCTCTGGGAGAGATATCGCCGGCAGAATTCGGTAGCAGATGCCCCTCGTAGTGGGCGACCTCGAGCGACCACTGCGGCGCAGGATCGCTACATCCGGGTACATCACCTGCGTCATCGAACAGCTACGGCGACCAGTACCGCTCGAGAAATACCCGCCAGGAACAGGTTGAGAGGCTGGTTTACGTGCCAGAAGACCTTATTTTGGCCCTGTGCTTCGACAACAACAGCGTCGAAATCGAGTTCAATGGTGCACCAACGTTCAGGCCTGGAACCTACCAAACTGGCGTAGAATCTGGTTCAGTGATGAATCACGATTTCTATTGGAACGACTTCGATGGAAGAATGCGGGTGTACAGATGTCGACGTGAACGTTTCGCCGACGCTTGCGTTCCCCAGGTGGACAGATTCGGCTGGGGCAGTGTTATGATGTGGGAGCGATCACCTGCCGTAGGAGAAGTGATTTGATGATGATCCAGGGCAACCTGACAGCTCAACGGTACTGTGACGAAATCCTACGCCCACACCTCCTTCCAATCATTGATCGCCAGAGGGAGTTGTTTCAACAGGACAATGCCAGGCCCCACACAGCACGTCACACTAGAGACTTCCTCCAGAACCACAACATCAATGTGCTCCCCTGGCCCTCAAGATCACCGGACTTAAACCCGATCGAACATCTGTGGGATGCCCTGGACAGACGGGTGCGACGCCGTAACCCTCAGCCCCAGACACTTCAGCAACTCGCACAGGCACTACAGGCAGAGTGGGCTGCGATTGGGAACACGAGATTCTGAGACTTTCTCGTTCGATGCCGAGGCGATGCCGTGCAGTTCTGGATGCCCACCGTGGTCACACGAGGTATTGACTTCAGCGCCACCACACGTCTCCATGTGACACTCAGACTGACTTTCCTCGAGTTGGTGCCAAAGACGGATAAGTCTGCATTCCCAGTGTGCAATTTCGCTATATTTCATTGACTCATAAAGCCTACAAGATGTTTCAAAATAAACATAAAAATACAGTTGAAATTCCTATATGCGTTTCTTTTTTGGGAGAGTACATGTATTAGCACACCGCTAACTTGTAAGGTATATTCCCGCACGAGTTGCCAACGGCAACATACTAACGGCAATACATCTAGAAACGATGATTTGTACGATATTTTCCGAAGGACGTAGATCTAGGGGAAGTAACTCCTCTACAGAGAAACAGATAAAGCGCTGACTGTGGAGATCTTCCGATTCAGATCAAAACATGCAGTAAACTATGTTAAAACGAAACGAAGACGCTTATATCGAACTAAAGTGAATATCGAACTAAAGTGTACATCGATCTAGCTTTTTGGTCCCGATCACTTTTTGCATGTTTTAGTCGAAATGTGTAATAGGAGCTACGTTTATAACGAACTAAATTTACTTGTCCCATTGACTTCGTTATAACCGTAGTTGTATTTTGTATATTCTATAAGATGTCATATTACCTGTGCTATATTCTCGATATTCTGTACAGCTTGTGTACTGCTACATGTACTTATTCTCCTGTATATTGTACGTTATACTTTCCATATCGTGTTTTGTTTCATGAGGCAACCTACTTTAATGGGAACAGGGTTATGCAATTATGACGAAACTTAGTAGCGTTAGAGAACGAAGCACTTTCATGTCAGTAATCTTCGCTCGCTATCTTCCAACAAAAGGAGCCCGTGAAGATCCAGGTTAGAAATGATCTTCAGTAACCCATGCTTGTCGTAAGAGGCGAAAAACGGGATTGGGTGGTCAGGTTCGCTGACTTTGTTGACACATGTCATCGTATCCCCATTGCGGAGATCGATGCTCATGCTGTTGATCACTGGATTGTGTGGTCAAGAATTGATTATTTACAGATCGTCGCCATATAGCTGGAATATTGTTGAGTGCGTCGTAAAACTAAACTCACTCATTACTTTAACGGAAGCTGTTTCGGCGGATAATCGATACTTATTGAACATGTTGTCAACGTTCATTGAAGCTCTACAGCTGTACATTGTCTTTTTGTTTGTACTCTGATTTCTTGTACTCAGTATTTAGACTTTAATGTTCTGATTCATGAGAGGATTTATTGAAACTTTTGAGGGCCGGTGGGGTAGCCTAGTGGTTAAAGCGTTGGCTCGTCACGCCGAAGACCTGGGTTCGAATCCCCACATGGGTGCAATGTGTGAAGCCCATGTCTGGTGTCCCCCGCCGTGATGTTGCTGGAATATTGCTAAAAGCGGCGTAAAACCAAACTCAGTCAGTCAGTCAGTTAAACTTTTGACATGTCGAATCCAGATGTTCTCCTAGAGATGCCCAAATCATCTTCCTGAACAATGACGTCACTACATGGCGCAGCGAGATTTTCGAAACATTCGCCTTTTCCGGTTATAAAAAACTGTACTTCCGGTGCCAGTACCACGTGTGCTTCACAGAGGATCAGGATTACTGCAGGGATGTAAGTACAGCTGATATTTGAACTGAAATACGAGAGATTAATAATCGGGCATAATTAACTATATACGTAAACTTTTTTAATTTTGCATGTGTTTAGTTTAGTTCTTTCTGTCCGTGAAATTCTATCTCTTAATTGCCGTGGGTCATGTCACAAGCTTCCTGGGGCGGTGGGGTAGCCTAGTGGTTAAACCGTTGGCTTGCCACGCCGAAAACCCGGGTTCGGCTCCACACATGGGTACCCATTTTTAGTGTCCCCCGCCGTGATATTCCTGGAATATAGCTAAAAGCGGCGTAAAACCATACTTACTCACTCGCAAGCTACCTTTCAGGTTCGACTGGTTAAAGTAAATTCAGCTTTATAGAATCATATTCGAGCTTACAACAGCTGAGTGGTATTTGTATCTTCAACAGATGTGTCGTCTCTCCACGAGGAACTCGAGACATCTCCACCGGAGAAGTTTGAGTGCCAAGCACGAGGATGAAAAGATACAGGAAATGCTAGCAACTCTGGACATTGAGTCTCCATAATGACAATGGTGAACTTCATCATGACATCATTTCGATGTAATACATAGATGTCAACCAAACTGAAATAAATCAGATAGGTCAGAGCATAGTGTGTTATTTTAAAATCAGCTTTGATATTAGGGTACACCACATAGTTCAATACCGTGAAGTCGTGTCACAAGCTACCTGGGGCGGTGGGGTAGCCTAGTGGTAAAAGCGTTGGCTTGCCACGCCGAAGACCCGGGTTCGACTCCACACATGGGTACCCACTTTTAGTGTCCCCCGATGTGATATTGCTGGAATATAGCTAAAAGCGGCGTAAAACCATACTTACTCACTCGCAAGCTACCTTTCAGGTTCGACTGGTTAAAGTAAATTCAGCTTTATAGAATCATATTCGAGCTTACAACAGCTGAGTGGTATTTGTATCTTCAACAGATGTGTCGTCTCTCCACGAGGAACTCGAGACATCTCCACCGGAGAAGTTTGAGTGCCAAGCACGAGGATGAAAAGATACAGGAAATGCTAGCAACTCTGGACATTGAGTCTCCATAATGACAATGGTGAACCTCATCATGACATCATTTCGATGTAATACATAGATGTCAACCAAACTGAAATAAATCAGATAGGTCACAGCATAATGTGTTCTTTTAAAATCAGCTTTGATATTAGGGTACACCACATAGTTCATTACCGTGAAGTCGACTCCCTAAGGCGCGTAAAAACATAATAGCAAGGGGGCCTTCATGCACCACTGGCTGGTTACAATGGGATTAAAATCACAGGAAGCAGGCAAACCTGTAACTACAAATCAGCAGAAAAATATCTATCTAAACAAATGACATTACGTTTATATATACATGTATACCAGTGAACAGAGAATCGCGTTTAGTGTTTTCAGTTATTGAGTATGGTTGTGGGTAATATTCTGATGAAGTGGTTTTCATATAATTATTGGGGCGGTGGGGTAGCCTTATGGTTAAACCGTTCGCACTTCACGCCGAAGACCCGGTTTCGATTCCCCACATGGGTACAATGTTTGAAGCCCATTCTGGTGTTCCCCGTAGCGATATTGCTGGAATATTACAAAGAGCGGCGTAAAACCATACTCACTCATATTATTATGTGTGCCTTCCGTACTCTAAAGGATACACATTAGCATTGTTTTATATGTTATATTTTGCCACTGATTCTTCAAGCACCCACTTTGATAACCTATAAGCATTTGGTGTCAAACGGTCGATCGATCATTTTGCACGTGCAACGAGCCGAGGCGAGCCGACAGGAAGAGTTCAGAGGTTATGCTCAACCAGTACACCGATTCTTTATACAGAGCGATTTAGCAAGACTTGCATGTTGAAATGACTGATAACAGCAACGTGAGTGAGCGTTTTACTGTATGCCGCTGTGAATAGTACGTGTTGTAGGTATATCACTGCATGTCAGGCTGTCACTGTGACGCCATGATCTTGACGTGTTTGTTGTTGTTGTTGATGTTGTTGTTGATGTTGCCGTATTCAACAATTTGCCAGCCCTATGACGTCGTTCTTAATCGAGTCTGTATATTGGCGTTGTTTGTTTTTGGATTGTGCATGGAGCATACATGTTTGCAAGTTACATCTGCAACGCCAGGCATTGTTCATGAAAATCTTTGATTATGCTTTTCAACAAAACTACAAGCCATTGGATAAATAGAACACTTCTTGTGGCATACAGTTTTACAACAATCTGAAACGAAATTATTGTTTTCAAGAATCTTCACCGATTTTTTAAATCCTACATAGTGTTTCTTCTTCATAACCGAACTGCTGGAATATGTCAGCAATAGAGTGCATCCACTGTGTTGAAAACCCTTCAAAATGGTTTGTCTCTCATTAGCGTCTCTCTCCCTCCCTCTCTCCTCTCTCTCCCTCTCTCTCTCTGTGTCTGTCTCCTCTCTCTCTCTCTCTCTCTCTGTGTCTGTCTCCCTCCTCTCTCTCTCTCTTTCTCTCTCTCTCCTCTCCCTCTCTCTGTGTCTCTCTCTCTCCCTCTCTCCTCTCTCTCTCTCTCTCTCTCTCTCTCTCTCTGTCTCTCTCTCTCTCTCTCTCTCTCTCTCTCTCTCTCTCTCTCTCTCTCTCTCACACACACACACACACACACACACACATTATGTAGCAGTCATCAGGACCAGAAAGAGTCTTTGCCCACACATATAACACGCTGATTCATTGATCAATGTCTAATTAGTTAGAAAGGTAATCAAGATTGCGTTATCAAGAAACTCTAGCTGACATGTTCCGTCTCTGTGACAAGCAGGCTCTGTTTATTCCTACAATTATTCATTCCATTTGTGTCATAATAGAGACCGTCCTCTTGCGTAACAGAAGTACGTCCGGAGACACGGTGGACATGATAATGGCTTGCTGATTCCACCAATCACTGAACAAGGTGCTAATACATTACAATTTAAGTTTGGTAGGAGTCAGTGGAGGTAACATAAACACATTCTTTATAATAGCGGAGTGAAATCTTACAGTTACTGTTGTTTGCCATTTGCTGGCACACTCTATGGTTTTCATTTACGCATCAGATGCCAAGAATAAAAAGAGCCCAATCCTTTACCATACCTTCCAGCCATCTCATAATCTATAACACCGTATTTGTCCAATGGTACAACAAGTTACACTTGATTAACAATCTCATAACATGAACGCATTAAAAAGTGGTATTTCAATAATACCGAGATTTATAACTGCCTGTAGAAAGATTTATAAGCCAAATCACCTTGCTAAGTCATACAGGCGATCACTGAACCAATATTAATGCATTGTGACAGCCCAATCGTAGGCTTCACACGTCTGAAAGGAACCATGTAAAGAGAAAGCAAACATTCTCTTTGTCGACAGATTTGGTCTGTGAACCGAGGAAGCTGGATAGGATTGTTCGTAAAACATAGACAAGGTCAAGACTTTGTATTAACGACGTATATTTGAGTAATGGTATTACAGTGTGATTGACTTGCATGGCTTGTTGAAGGGGTTACATGGGTAACCAAACGTTCCAAACGAGGATGCATCTCCTCAAACCACTTACATTTCCATATTGATCTAAAAATCAATGAATTCGCCCCCAGAATTCGCCCCCACTCTTGTCGAGTACAAGCTTCGGAGAGCTTCACCTTGGCCACCATGGGATTAGTAGTGATACAGAATACGACCAGAGCAGTCATGCGATTAATCCCTGGCCACGATTGACACATATGCGGAAAAGAAAAGAAAAGCTTGGAGTTAGCATTGAGGCTTAGTGCTTAGTGTTGGTGGATTACAGATTATGGTATTAAGATCTAGAACTGGCTGAACGGAGGTGAATGATCACAGAGATAGTCACGAACATATCGACATGCGGTCACGGAGACGATTAATGTTTTAACTGTATGACACGCTCGCTGAAGGAGGGTCGATGGTCTTAAATGTTACTGTGTGGTTGATGGACTGATAAGTTTGTGACTTCTTGGCAGCGTGTGTTCTGGGAGAGACCATTTGCATTGTTGCTAGAGACTGGGATATCTATTGATTACTAAATGGGAGAACAAGGCAAGAACGATCGACATTCCTATAACATTAACAGAAAAGTCATGTTGAAGCAGAGGTCTATTGTCAGCAAACTCAGGATACTTTGGGTGTATGTGTACATGTTTTGAGCCGCAGGTTAAATATGACGAACAATCGGAACCGAGTGGATCATGGTCAGGTGAAACTATCCAACATATTTTCTGACACAAATCATGACGCTCGCTTTGAATCAATGCGAAGGAATACCCGTAGTGCTAGGGTTCTTCGACGCCATGAGGATCTACGAAAACAGTGCGAAAAGGAAGTACGGGCGTACGAACGATGGCAGAAATTGGCAGCCTCAGAGTTACGTCAGTTGCAGACCAGATATCTTGAAAACTCAGGAAATTCAAAAATCTCTCAGCTATCACCCGTCTAGTCAGCCGAAAGGCACAGTACCAATACCAACTCAAAGGGTGGTGTCGTCTGCGAACTCCGTCCCTCATTATGTTCGTTCAAGAGGCTCAATTATACCAGAACACCCTGACAGAGATGACCTGGATGTAGATCATGTGGACTCTCATATGAGTGGAGATCAGATGGACTCTCATCGCTCTCACATGAGAGGGGAACAGCTGGACTCTCACCGTTCTCACACGAGTGGGGATCAGATGGACTCTCATCGCTCTTACATGAGTGGGGAACAGCTCGACTCTCATCGTTCTCACATCAGTGGAGAACAGCTGGACTCTCATCGTTCTCAAGTGGGTATGGAATCAGACAGGCTACAGACTCCAAGAGATGATCTAAAGCTCCCATCTCCACGAATTGGATCCAGATCAGAAGGTATTAACATTGGTGCAATGGAATCGCTAATGATGTCTCTGTCAACAATACCAGACACGCCCAGACTCTCAGATCCGCGGCGACTACCTATTTCCAAACCTGTCACCTTCCCAAGTCCAGGTTCGACACCAAGGAGCGCCAGATCACCTGGTAGACTCTTCCCTAACGTCAGCGACGTAGGACAACGTGGTCGAACCTCTAGGAACAACACCGGAGTGAAAGTGACAGCAGAAATGGTGGAGCTTATAGATCTTCGCGATCCTAAAGGTTTCACGCGAGAGAATGGAACAGAAACGTACTCAAAAGGAAACAAAAAGGCTGTTACGTTCTTTGTCTGACAAAATGTTAGCAGATCTGGTGTGGAGATTCTAGCATTGTGTGTTTCACCTTGACAATTCTGATGTTTGAGTCAACGACAACGCTCTCTGTTGATACAGAAAAATATGGAGATACTGATTTCGCCATTGTGATGTGAGTTTTTGAATGCGAATATGTTCTTCTCTCTCTTCAGGGCCTTTTATCATTCGTATCCACACGTAACATTGTATGTATGGAGAGTTACATACAGTCTAATTGTCTTACCAATATATTTCCAGCTGCGTTTAATATGTTAGATTGAAACCCGATAACCCTGACTGTAGAAATTCTACTGGAATCGCCTGGATTGTCAATATACGTATTGTATAATTTGTCATGAGCACGGAGTAATTTGACTTTGTATGAAGC